ATAACTGTGTTGTTTTCTGCATTGTTTTTGATGTTTCCTTTCCACTGAAATGCCCTGAAGTAAACTACATTGTTAGTTTGTTTCAGCTATCACAAACAGCGAGATGAATGATGTATGTTTTAGTGGAAGCCGAACTGCAGTAGAACAGAAACAGTGCTGATTGCAACAAATACAGGAAAGGATGGGCATTGCTGCCATCTTACATCCCTACTCCAGATGCTGCTGGAAACTACAACTCCCATCATCCCTGATCATTGGTCATGCTGGCTGGTCATTGGTCATGCAGTCCAACTTCATCTGGAGGGCAGCAGGTTCCCTATCACTGTCCAACTAAGTGTGCAACTTCCTCCAACGCTCCACCAAACTGCAGGCAAAACATATCATTTGCAGTTGTGTGAGTTTTTATTTAAGCCCAGAAGAGCAATTTTCATCTGGATGGTCAATCCTTTTCTTCTCTGCCACAATCCTCATGAAAACCTGACACACCTACAACTAACCGGGTTTCTTAAACCAATGCAACTGAAAGAGGCATATTTAGTTTGTCCTTGAGACTGTGATGAAATGGAGAGGGCTGTGGGTTCAGTGTCAGGCCAGCTTCTCCTCTCCTGCTCAACATTCAGCCTGACACAGAACTTGAAAACTCATTCACAATTGTGTGGCATTTTGGCTGGTCCTTACACGAGTATGCCGTGCGCTGCTCTGGTCTCCTGCCCACCTAGCAGTTTGAAAGCACGTCAAAGTGCAAGTAGATAAATAGGTACCACTCCGGCGGGAAGGTAAATGGTATTTCCGTGCGCTGCTCTGGTTCGCCAGAAGCGGCTTAGTCATGCTGGCCACATGATCCAGAAGCTGTCTGCAGACAAACGCCAGCTCCCTCGGCCTATAGAGCGAGATGAGCGCCGCAACCTCAGAGTTGTCCGCGACTGGACCTAATGGTCAGGGGTACCTTTACCTTTAACAAGAGTATGGCCTGAATTTTTATTTCAAAGAGCTTTTAGTGACTCAGATATGATGCAGACGAGGATTTAATAGATTTTAAAATAATAACTTAGGTGGTTTTACCTGCATTTATAAAAACTGTTAACTGGCTAGATGGTTTTCTTATTTGTTTTCTTTTTAGGTGTTGCTGTTGAGTAAAAGTATATATGCAAGCCATCGGAAAGACCTAAATAGATAAACCAGATTGCTAGGTGTGGACTCCCATCCCTTGCTTTGCTATTAAACCAGAGCCCTGGTACCTGGCTTTTGCACACCCAATTATTACTGATCCCAAAACTGTTTCCACACACATAATTCTCTGGCTAAGGGTAATGCTGTAAAACTTACATGCAACTATTTCATTGACTGATTGATTGAAAAGGAAGCATATGACCTTCTTCTCAGCTTAGAGCCCAGGAGGGAGAAGGTTGGATCCAGACCTATTTAAATCAATGGGACTTGAATTACGATTAGCTTAAGTTCTGTTGATTCCAATAGGTCTACTCTAAGCAGAAGTGTGACTCCAAGATGCTGGACATTTCTGAGTAAACATGCACAGAATGGGGCAGTAAGTGCAGTATGTAAGCATGCAAGTTAGGCACATTAAAATAAAAAGAGGGAGGAAAGGGGGCAGGAGTCAGGGAAAGGGGACTCTGGCAATCCCATTGAACACAATATGTTCTGACTATACACAATTTTGGTTTTAGGCATGATCCTCGTAACATAACCTCTGCAAAAGCTGCAGGCTTACTGTACGTGCAACTGCATTTGCTTGCAATCATGCAACTGTTTGCTCCCCCTGTTGTCTATTTCCCCTCCTTCCCCTATTCTAAATTTAGACTGTGAGCATCTTGGGCCCAGAGATCTGACTTCTGTTTATGGTACTCTGTGAAACACACCAAGCGCTCCCCAATGAGGTTTTATTAAGAAACATATGAATGAAGCTAGATATGCATGCCACAATTCAGATTATTACAGTTTTGCAAGTTCTCAGGCACAAGCCCGGCTCCCAGTTTGCCTCCAGACTTGCAGAATTTCATGGGAGGCATTCAAGTGCCTACCATAAATTTGGGTTTGTGCAATTAAAGCTGATGACAGCGGCTTCCTATCTATAACCTCCCTGCAAAGCAAATCGGGCATCTCTACCTCGTATTATTCTTAGAAGAATGCATACACCGTCTTTCTTTTCCCTTTCCTTTTTTAAAAAAGCGAATTAGTCAGTTTAACGAGTGAAAATTACAAAAGGCATGCAAAAACCATGTGCGAGGTCAAATGCACATTTAAAAGCGGCTTGCAAACTGACATCTAAACTGCAGCTAAGAGAAAAATCCCAACACTTTTCAACTTGAACTAAGACCTAAATTCATTTTCTGCACCACAGGGGGTCGATCGCTCAACAATTCTGGGCAATGCTCCCCAAAAAAAGGTCAACAAGTAGGTCACTGCCAGTGTTTTTATACTGGGAGTGCATCACAGTCTCTTGGAAGTTGGACGTGCCTGCATTAGATGATCTTTGGGGTCCCCTCCAACTTTACCATTCTTTGAAACTTGCAGCCCTCCAGCTTTTTGGCTGCACCTCCCACCATCCTTGGCCATGCATGCAAGAGCTGATGGAAGTCTAACAACCTTTCATTTCAAGAAGAAGAAGAAAGCAGGTCTGGTAATGTCCCCTGTCCCCCCACCACTGAGAAGACAGCCCATTCTGCAAGAGACACCAGGAAGTCCCAGCATCACCCACAGCAAGGTGCCAGAAACTTTGCAGGTCCTCCCACAGTAAGGCTCCTCTGGAGCAAATCTGCTTCTCAGCTGCATCCATGAGATGGGCTCACGGTGGAATTTCTGAGAGAGACCAGACACTCAGCCTCAGATTATTCATGTGTGCACAAAAAAACCTACAAAACAATAACAATTAAAAAATACTTCCTGGTCGGGAATAACAAACACATAAGCAAAAGTCTGTACAAAGGTGGGGAGAAGAATTTGCAAAAGGTGGTTGGGGGCATGGGTGTAGCCCATAGCTGTCAACTTTCAGATTTGAAAATAAGGGATCAGCAGCCTCGAAAAAAAGGGATCAGCAGCCTCACCTGTCCTGAGGGCAGTCTACAGGCTATCTAACAATCCAGGATAGCAGCGGGAAGCAGCAGGAAACAGCGCTGGAATAAGGGAATTTCCCGCAAAAAAAGGGGAGGTTGACAGCTATGGTGTAGCCAGGATTTATGTTGCAGGGGCAGGACACCCATCTGTGTCTGAACAACAGTTGTTTTAATTTGACCCCAAGTAACCTAGACAGCATCTTAAAAAGCAGAGACATCACCTTGCCAACAAAGTAGTGATGTATGGAAGTGAGAGCTGTACCATAAAGAAGGCTGATCGCCAAAGAATGGGTGCTTTTGAATTATGGTGCTGGAGGAGACTCTTGAGAGTCCCATGGACTGCAAGAAGATCAAACCTATCCATTCTGAAGGAAATCAGCACTGAGTGCTCACTGGAAGGACAGATCCTGAAGCTGAGGCTCCAATACTTTGGCCACCTCATGAGTCTGACCAAACTGTGGGAGGCAGTGGAAGACAGGAGTGCCTGGCGTGCTCTGGTCCATGGGGTCACGAAGAGTCGGACACGACTAAACAACAACAACTAAGAAAAAAATCTGTCAACATCTTTCTACAATTTCTACTTTTAGTTAAATATTTTTATTTACTTACTTGAACAGGTGGCAGCTGCCCCCCCCCGGCTACGCCCCTGGGTGGGGGACTCCCATCAGCCAACAATGACATCATAGGAAGAGCGATATCTGTTATTGAATTGTCTGAAGTTCCACCTTTGGCAGGTAGCTGGTCTAGTTACTCCTTGGAAGGAGAGAAAGGGAGATCACCCCAGGGGATCTCTCTCTCTCCCTCCCTCTCCCTCTCCCTCTCAGTCGTAGTTGGAGCGGGAAAGAGGTAGCGATTTCAAAAGTTTCCCGAGAAGTTGCAAATCGACGCAGCCGGAGCTGCTGTCTAGCAAATTTCCGGATCGGAGGAACGGCGACGCCGACGGGCATCGTGGCGCTTCGCTGGCGCGGGGGGGGGGGGCGCGCGCGCGGCTTACCTGCTTGTGGCGCGCGCGCAAAAAGCGCGCAGCTGGATCCCACCGCGGAGAGAAAGAGAGAGCGCACGACGCCAGGAGCCGGAGTAGCCCGGGAAAGGAGTCCTCTTGCCTGGCTGGTGGAGCTGGACGCCCGGCTGAAGCGGGGCGGGGCGGGGTCACGGCAGTCCCCGCGCCCACAGGAGGCGGGTGCGCCACTCCGGCGAGGAGGAGACCTTGGCTTTGGGTGCCTCCGATTCTTCGAAAGGGGAAGGAGGGCCGTGGAGCCTCATCCGTGGTGGAATCACAGCTGAGAAGCCCTGGATTCAAGCCTTTGGCATCTCCTGGGAAATCTAGGAGACCTGCTGCTGCTGCCGGTCCGTGCAGGCAATACTGAGCCCGATGGGGCTGGCATTATCTGGCGAGGCTGCGGGCGGGCGCAGCGCTTTGCACGATCCCTTGCGCCCCTCTGGGTACATGCGAGGCTCTCGCAGCAGTTCTGTTAATGCAGCACATCGGTCATCTTTGCTATTCACATCTGCTGGGCATCTCCCGGAACAATCCTTTTGTCTGTCCGCTTGCTGGAAGTGCGAACAACAAGGGGCATTCCTCGTAGGAACAACAGACAATGCACAATGCTTGTTGATCCTAAGGCCTGGGCCGCAGGCTCAAAGAAAGGCAGCTGCCTCCTCGATGTGTTTATTCAGAGGGAGCTGGCTTCCAGGAAACGCTGGCCAGGCTTTGAGAAGACAACCCTCTCCAACCTGGTGCCCTCTCCCCAAGCTTTGGGACTACAAAATCTCACATAAATTCCTGCATTGCAGGGGGTTGGACTAGATGACCGTCAGGGTCCCTTCCCACTCTATAGTTCTGTGATTCTATTAATTCTCATCATGGGAAGTGGTCAGGGATGATGGGCATTGTAGTCCAAAGCAGCTGAAGGGCCTCAGGCTGGGGAAGCGCTAGCTCAGTTGGTTAGAGTGTGGTGCTGATGACGCCAAGGTTGCGAGTTCGAAACCCCATATGAGACAGCTGCATATTATACAAAGGTTACATACAATGTTGTGTTGTAGAATTGTAGAGTTGGAGGGTCCCAGGGGTCATCTAGTCCAACCTGCTGTAAAGCAGGAATATTTTGCCCAAGGTGGGAGTTGAACCCACAACCCTGAGATTAAGAGCCTCGTGCTCTACTGACAGTTTTGTCCCTGAAAAGTCAAGCAAGTATAATCCTACGCTTTGACATGCATCTTCAAGTCACTTTTCTTATCATAAGCAATCCGATTTTGGGAGGGGTGTGGGCAGAAGTTCAGGTGGTGCCTTCCATCCATCTCTGCAATGTGTCTGCTTTAAGCCATAGCAACACCAGCCACCTATCACAAAATTTTGCATCCCTCCTCCTTCCGAAACTGTCAGGCAGCAATCCTTGATCTGCGCTGCTCCTTGAAGTGTTGCCGTCCATCTGGATGAGGAGAAGCCACGGCTGGCATTCTTACACCTTCCTAATCACAGTGCGTTGTCAGAATAATAAGTGCTCCTTATGGCAGGTGTGTCTGCTGGACTGGCAACCCTTGCGGGAGAAGCGCTCCAGCGTAGGCCTATGAAAATGAACACGAGCGACGCAACCGGTTTTGCAAGGGCCTCACCTCGAGTGCCAATTAGCAGAAAGCATCACTGAGTTGTTCCCTGAGGCAAGTTCGACTCTCTCTTGCGAACGGGCAGCATTACGTGTCCATAGCATTCTTTCCGGCAGCTAGAGCGGTTACCTCAGAGATAGGGAACCTCAGGCCTAGGTGGCTTGGATGCAGCCTTCAAGGCTTCACTACCTTACCCCAGGCCCCAGCCCTGGCCAGCCCTGCTTTTCACCCTCCATGAGTGTGTTTGCCTGGCTGGAATTTGCCCTAGGATGATGCCTTCTCCACTGCCTGATTGGGGAAGGGTTTGTGAGTGTGCGAAGGAACTGTCATACTGCGCAAACATACAATTTATTTATTTTTCCTGGAAGATTGCCCAGAAGAGAATCCGTCCCTCGAGGTGAAAAGGGTTCTCCGCCCTTGAGTTAGAGCAGCCTGTGGCCAGGAGATTTGCTATTAGTTCTAAAATTGCTTTCAGGTACTTTCTGATTCTGGTGTACTTGTTGGTGTTTGGAGTTGACATACTCACAGAAGCTGAACAGAACGTTTTATTCCTGCTGGAGGAGCGCATTTTACACTAGATAGAATCACACAGAGACTCTTAGTTTGGGAAAACAAGAAAGCTATATCTATTGCAGGAAGTACACAGTAGGCAGGCATTATAAAACTAATGAGGGACGCGGGTGGCCCTGTGGGTAAAACCTCAGTGCCTAGGACTTGCTGATCGCAAGGTCGGCAGTTCAAATCCCCGCGGCAGGGTGAGCTCCCGTCGTTCGGTCCCAGCTCCTGCCCATCTAGCAGTTCGAAAGCACCCCTAAGTGCAAGTAGATAAATAGGTACCGCTCCAGCGGGAAGGTAAATGGCATTTCTGTGTGCGGCACTGGTGCTGGCTCACCAGTGCAGCTTCGTCACGCTGGCCACGTGACCCGGAAGTGTCTTCGGACGGTGCCGGCTCCCGGCCTCTTGAGCGAGATGGGCGCGCAACCCCAGAGTCGGTCACGACTGGCCCGTACGGGCAGGGGGTACCTTTACCTTTATAAAACTAATGAAGCTTAAGCTTCAAGGCCCCTAATCCCAGACGGGCCCCAGAAGCAACTTGGGTCCACATTGTTTTCAAATTTTGGGTCTACCATTTTTTTTATTTTGTATATATTTCAACAATCCCAAAGTTCGAGAGATGTTGTAAAGGTGTGGTGATCTGTCATGGAGCAACTCCACTGAAGAAGATAAGTGTGGTTACCCAAATCTTGTTTCTGGTTGCAAAGGGAGCCCATAACAGTTCAGGGCCCCAAAAATGTAGGTTCGCCACTGTTGATAGGGAAAATGCTAGTTCTAACTATGTACGGTGAAGATGCAAAGAGCTATGCTTGCTCTTTCATCTCAGCAGGAGAGACACACCAAGATGTCTCCTCTCCCAAGGAAAGGCTGGTGAAGAAAATGAGGTCACCAGTCCTGAGAGAATCAGTCTAACATTGAAGGAGGTCAGTGCAAAAAGGTAAGTCTAGGAAGGTTGAAAGGTATCTACGATACGATATCTTTATTGTCATTGTCCCACACAGAACAATGAAATTGAAAAACTACATAAAACATTCAAAACCCCCTAAAAACTCTGAAACCCCATTTTAAAATACAATATACTATAGAGACTCCTTATGCTGCGTTTAGAACCAGAATTGCATTTGCGTAGAAACTGTTTCTCAGGCGGCTAGTCCTGGCCTTTATGACCCTATACCTTCTTCCAGAAGGCAGAAGCTGAAAGAGATCATTTCCGGGGTGCGTACTATCCTGTGCTATCTCTGCAGCTTTCTTATGGCACCTGGAAGCATAGATTGGATCCAAGGTGGGAAGAGTGCACCCAATTATTCTCTCCGCAGTCTTTACAACCCTGGACAGCATTGTTTTTTCCCTGGCCGTGCAGCTCCCAAACCACACACAGAGACCATAAGTTAGTACACTCTCCACAGTGCAATGGTAAAATGCCATCAACAGGTCCTTTGAGAGATTGTTTTTCCGGAGGATTCTCAGAAAATAAAACCTCTGCTGTGCTCTCTTCATCAAGTCTTTGCTGTTTTCTCCCCAGGTTAGGTCATCTCTCAACTTCATTCCCAGAAATCGAAACCGAAATCGAAGTCAAGTCAGCCTGCAGTGCAAACTGACTTTCGTCTCAACACTTCCAATGATACTCCCACCGAAGGAACAGGTTCACAGCTTGAGGGTCTTGTTCCTTGACCTTTTTGTTGTGAGATGGGCAGGCTGTATCTGAGGTACTGCTGATAGGCCACCTGACCCTGCTTCAACTGAAATAACCTAGTCTCAGTTACCCATGCTCCTGGTTACCTCTAGGAAAGACTACTGTGCTGTGCTATACATGGGCCTGCCTTTGAAGGCTATTTGGAGAATGCAGGCTGCTAGATTTCTAACTGGATGTTATGGCCATTTTATACCTGTGCTGTGCCAACTGCTATGGTTCCTAGCCTGTTTCTGGGCTCAGTTTCAAAGCGATGGTTTTGGCCTTTAAAGCCCTTCATAGCTAAGGACCAAGACAAAGGCAACTGAAGGACCACCTGTCTCCATAAGTACCTCCCTGTGCTGTCCTAAATAGAACATCAGCAGCTATTTACCGTATTTTTCACTCTATAAGATGCACCAGACCATAAGACGCACCTAGTTTTTGAAGGAGGAAAACAAGGAAAAAAATATTCTGAATCCCAGAAGCCAGAACATCAAGATGGATCTGGCTTCTGGGATAGCTTCTTCCTGTTCTGGCTTCTGGGATAGCCGCGCGAAGCCTCTTCAGGGCAGCGGGATGAAGGCTCCCCCTGCACTCAAGAGCTCCCCCTGCCCTCAAGGCTCCCCCTGCACTCAAAATCGCTGTGCAGCGATCCCTCTTGCTGTCCTGGCTTATGGGATAGCCGCACACAGCCTCTCCTGGGCAGTGGAATGAAGGCTCCCCCAAGAGCCATGCTCCCTTTAAAGAGCACGCGGAGCCTCAGGGAAAAGCCCCCAAGAGCCGCACACACACTCCACAGGGTTCTTTAAAGGGAGCGCTGAGCAGAGCCTCCCGCCTGCATTCGCTCCATAAGACACACACACATTTCCCCTTACTTTTTAAGAGGGGAAAAGTGTGTCTTATAGAGCGAAAAATACGGTAATGAACATTCACCATGCTCTGTTTTCAGGGAGGTTAGAGGATGTTGCAACAGAGCAAGTGCCTTCCCATACTCTCCATTTTAAAATCAGCATGCTATGTAATGCCATGAACCACCTAAATGATGCTTCTGGACTACTGATGGTCCATGGACCAGTTTGGGAACATTACTGAGCTAGAAGTAGCCCAGTTGATAAGATGATGATTTGCCCCATTCTCCTTTAAAGCCATCTAAGTTTGTAGGCATCACTACCTCCTGCAGCATACAGTAACTGCAACCCTTGTAAAACCACATGCATGTCAGCTTGCCGTGGGCTTCATAAATCTCCTATTTGGCTGCCCAGCAGGCAGTGGCCGGTGGGTCATGGGTGGGCTGAATCTGGCTTGCTGGGGCGCAAGCTGAGCAGGCTTCGGCTGCTGACACAGCGGCTAGCTGTCTTGTGGCTTTGCCGTTGCTGCCAGCTGGCAGATGTATTGCACAGGCAAGGGACAACTGCTGATTCTTCCTTGATTAAAGGGAACAGCAACCCATCAGGGGGAAGTTGTTTTATCTCTGCTACAGATGTTCTTCTCTATGGGAAGGAAGTTAAAAGGACCTCATTGCAGCCAACAACACAGGGTGAAGAATTACACACACACAAAAATGCAGATATAGAAAAAGGCTCAGTGGTGGAGCACTTTCTTTGCATGCAAGGAGTCCCTGGTTTGATTTCTGGCATTTCCCACCAGGGCTGGAAAGTAACCCTGGATAGCTGCTGCCAGTCAGTGCAGTCAATATACTGCACTAGATGGACCAATGGTCTGGCTCTGTACAAAGCAACTTCCTATGTTCTGGTATGGCATATATATACTAGAGTTTAGTGAGCAGGGAGAGGCTGTGGCAGAGAAGTCCAGAAGCAAGCAGAAGTGGAAGCAGGAAGGTGTTATGAGGGAGGCCTAGAGGTAGAGAAGAGTCAGGCTGGTGTCTTCCCCTCCTGCTGTGACAATCTCCCTTCCCCACTGGTCTCCCAGGACCAGGAGAGGCATGAAGCGGGAGGAGCAAAGGCAGGCGCACCGGCATAGTCTCAGATTGCTTGGGAAAGAACCAGAGGAGGAGGGGACTTAGGTAGCTGCAGGAAGCCAGGCACCTTCAACCTCCACAATTGCCTCATAGGGGCAAAACCTACCAAGGAAGAGCTGCTATGCTCATTAGGCCTGGCACTCCTGAGCAGACCCTGTTTCTTCTAAGAACTTCACTTGCTGCATGTGATTTATTGCTGGCTCGCTCTTGACACCAGGTGACCCATGTGTCAGTTTGCTTTCTAAGTGCTTACTGCTGGTGAGCAGCTTCAAGGTTCTTCTGCTGTCTCCCCCATCTCATGGCTCTTCATCTTTGAACTGGACTTGGACCAGCCACCGTTTCAGACAGAAGAGTGTCCTTTACAAAGCAGGGCACTTGGCCTACCTGTTATCTACAGAGGGCGGACGATAGCTCCTCGCACAGGGAAGCTTGGAAGACCCAGGACCTGAGTCCTCTGACAATCCAGCATGGGTGCTTCATGGTCCAAGTAGTATTCTTGTGAATAGAGCTGTCGTTCCTGTGCTCTCTTATTCATTCGTTTGTTCATTATTTAAAAATAATAACAACAAGTTTAACAAAGAAAGAACAACAGAGAAAAGGGGGAAGGGAGTGGACGTAAATAAAATTCACCAGTTCACACTGAGAATACAGTCACCATCAATGCATCCATCTTAATTTAAGAATACAAATCGATATAAGCCATCCAGAAAGGAATTCACATGAAATGGATGTTCATAAGAAATGTGTTCAAGGATAGCCAAGCCAGCGAGGACCTCAGACCACTGCATAATAGATCGTGGGTGGTTCTCCTTCCAGAATCGAAGGACAAATCTCTTGAAAGGGCTTGCTGTCCTGTTCTTACTCCTCGTGCTGCAGGAATGCAATTTAAAAACTCATCAGCATCTTCAAATATCAAGAATTTCACCGGTACAAAATCAATATGGACAACAACTTCAGACCAAAAAGGAAATACTTGTATCAGTGGACTTCTCCAGGCTTACAGCTCAAGAATCTACCTTCTGTCTAAAGACACATTTGTGTCTAAAGACACAATTGAAAGCAATTTCCCATTATTTTTTGTTATATAAAACACAGTCTATTCATACCCTCCTGTGGTCAGGAACAAACCCACACTACTGATGCAATCTGGGATGTTTGTTTCCCAGCTCACCCAATACTGGAGAAGTGGCAATGGCGGGGGTGTCGGTGTCGAATAGTCAACCACACAGAGAGAGAGATCTTTTTACTTTGTGCAACCAACATCGCATTCCCTAGTGGCTGCTGAATGAAACACTGAACTGTTCCTGAACCATAATCGTGATCAGATGTTATCTCTTCTCATTCAAAAGAATCTGGCATGAAATAAGCAAAAACTCCACTAGATGACCTTGGTTCGCTTGTCACATCTACATCTACACCACACATTTAAAGCATGTGGTTTTCCCCAAAAGGTTCACGGGAACTGTAGTTTGTTAAGGGTGTTGGGAATTATAGCTCTGTGGGGAGTAAACTACAGTTCTCGGGGTTTTCGGAGGGCAGTCATGATGTTTGCTGCAGATATGATCAAAAAGGATAAGCCTAATCTGGTCTTTTTTGAACACTTGTTCTAATTTGTTTGCAGTGAGCTTATAGCAGACTTGAGAACTCTTCCTGATTTGCTAGCACAGTGTTTATACATCTTCATGTTCATCATTTGCACCCTACACTCTGCAGTGGGTTTCCACATCACTTTCCTACCAGCAAAATGTCAGTTTTGAAAATGGGTTTTTTTTGCACTGGAGCCCAAACCTAAATTTCTGCTATGCACTTGAATGCTATCTGCAAAACTCTGGCAATCTGAAAGCGATCCTGGACTGTCTGGACCAAGAAGCTGACTTTGGGAACTCAAGTGGCAGATCACCTTAAGAAGATAGCAAATCACCCATTATTTCATTCATTACTGTATTATATTTTCTGAACCAGAAGGGACAACTGGATTTTCTGCCTCGGGCACCAGACTGTCTTGGTCCAGCTTTACAACAGAGCTTGCAACAGACCTTTTTTTCTTTCTTTCTTTCACCAATACAGTGCTATTACTGTGCTTAGAACATGAACAAGAATGAATCACCCGTCGCTACATAGGGTTAAAGTCACTTCCGTTTTCCGTTGCCATGGGGAACTCAGTGTCCTAGAAATTTGTCCTTTCTCCCACTCAAATGTGTGGGAGTCAAAAGCCCAGCAGAGCCAAACCTTTTCTTTAAAATTGGTGTTGTTGTTGTTGTTGCCTCCCCCCCCCTCAAAAAATAAGCAAACTCTCTTTCTGGCCTTGCAACGCCATGGGACGGTTCCAAGAACCATCAAATTAATGGTGTCATTCCCCTCAGCTTGCAAAAATTCTTTTAAGCAGAGTTTAAGTAAATATTTGAAGCAAAGCAATGTAAAACATTCGGCTTAATTTTAGTACTTAAACTGGTCAGAGAATTGTGGGGGTGGACACAAGGATATATCACTGCTTTTTCAGTATTCTGGGTGCCATTTGTGCCATTGGGATTGGTAGGGCAGGGAGGTCAAGAGTGGGCGGGGCCACAGCCAGTGAGAGGCGGAGCCACAGCCAACAACAGGTGAGTTTCATTTCCTCCCTCCTCCCTGCTGGTTTCCAGGAGAGCAGAACTGAGACTAAGGAGGAAGATGTTACCCCTAGACAGGCCAAGTCAAAGGACAGGCAGGTTGGGGGTCTGGCTGATGGCAGAGTGAGGTTGGTAACGTGGCACCGCACTGGCGGGAGACATAATGCAAGCAATACCAAGATGTGAAACTTGTCAATCAGCTTAATGTGCATTGCGGCATCCCAACAAAGAGAAGGAATAGCTCAGTTGGTAGGGCACAAGACTCTTAATCTCGAGGTTATGTGTTTGAGCCCCACATGGGGCAAAAAGATTCCTGCATTGCAAGGGGGTTGAGCTAGATGACCCCCGCGTTCCCTTCCAACTCTATGATTCTAAGCTCCACGGAAAACTTTAGATTCGTGAGGATACTGCTGGATGTAGAGGGCTGCAGTAGGAGGCTATACATCTCAAATGCATTGATGCAGTGACACCTAGTGTTCTTCTTAAATATTTCCGCATTTTATAAGCCTCCTGTGAAAGGGATTCTAGATAAACTGGAGCTAAAATTGATACTACCCTGAGCTAGGGTAAGATCACAACACCGTGGTTTTGATTTTGGGGCCATGGATTGATTCTGGTTCAGATGTAGAGGTTGCCAGGGAGGACTTCCAAACATTGGCTGGGTCTTTCACCAATGGCCTATTCATACATACAGTGGTGTTGAATCACTTCTCTTTTTTTAGTGTATTTTTATTAAAGATTTTCTTGGTTTACAAAAGTATGTGCAATGTCTCTCTCTCGTATTTTTTTTCCATGTAACATTTTTTACAGATCAGTTTCATTTGTTGAGACATTAGGAAGAAAAGGGGGAAAGGGGTGGAGGGGGAGAGATGAGTGGGGGTGGGGTAGGGTGGTGATGTTTCTATTTTACTTAATATATATGTTGGGGGGGGTTGTCAGTGTTGCTTGTGCAGGTTCTCTGCTATTCACTTGTGTTCCTGTGGTGGTGAGAGAGGTTGGGGTTGGCCTAGGGTGTGGCTGTTCATTTGTGGTTGGCTGTGGTGGTCTTTGTTTTCATGTGTGAGTGAGGTGGGTGGGTGTTTTGGATTAGGTTAGCCATATTGATTTGTATGCTGTTGGTGGATTTTTGTCATTGTCTTGTTGGGCTGTGCGTGTGATGAAGGGGAGCCATCCCGGGGTGAAGGCGTCTTCTGTTTGTCCCCGTGTCAGTTTCAGTTAATTGGTTAATTGTTATAGTAAGGCTGTTTCCCATACTATTTGGTACCATTGGTCCATGCTTACTTCTGACAGGTCTCTCCAGGGTCTGGTTATGGTGTTTCTGGCTGCTGAAAGTAGGTGGGTTTCTAAGCATGGCAGGGTCGCATGCTGCCACCACAGGATCATTCCCTCTATTTCCAGGCTTCAGAGGAAGAGTGCTGCGGCTGATGTAGCCAAAACAGCACCACCCGCGCACCCAAGAGAGGTGTACGCAGACTCCAGGAAGCACCAAGGTTTGCAAAAGCACAAAGGATCTTCCAGGAACAGCAGCGATCAGCAGGACTGAACATGATTAGACTGACTGTATCAGAAGGGGTATCGGAAAACAGGGAGTGAGGGGGAATGGGATGGGAGATTCTGACTAAACGTCAGGAAGACTTTTCTGATGGTTAAGAGCTATGCAACAAACTCCCTTGCGTGGTTGTGGACTCTCCTTCCTTGCAGGTTTTTAAGCAGAGGTTGTGTGGCCACCTGTCGTGGATGCTTTAGTTGAGATTCCTGCATGTGGGGGTTTGACTAGATGATCATTGGGTCCCTTCAAACTCTAAGATTCTATGGTTCCCAGACTAATTTAATTCAGTAACCATACTGCTCTAACTGGGGGCAACAGCTGCAGCCACCAGATACTAGTACAAGTTTTTTTTTCTCATTTAAAAAGCCCACATGCAGCAGGTATCTGTGATCTGTTATCCGCCTGGCTTTCAATTTGAACTTAGCCTGATCTTTTATTCCCCTTCCTTCCCTCCCCCTCCCCTTTTTATAAAGATTACCCGCTCTGGATCCCACAGCTAATTCTCCCCTGGTCTCCTCGCTGGCCCAAATAGGACTAATTTAGCCAGCTAGCCCTGGTGATCATCTAATGTTTATTGGATGGATTTCCCCCCTAAATTGATTTTTGAATTCTGAATTTATTGTTATTCACGTTTTATACTGTATTTTATGCTGTTTTTTGTTGCATCAATTAAGTGTTTTAAATTTGTTGTTAGCCGCCCTGAGCCCGGTTTTCTGAACCAGGAAGGGTGGCGTATAAATAAAAAATTATTATTTATTGTTATTATTATTATCTCTCATCTCTATTGATGTGCCTGGTTGCTTTAACCTCCACTGAAGACTAGGTGTGTTTCAGAGCAAGGTAAAGGTAAAGGGACCCCTGACCATTAGGTCCAGTCATGACTGACTCTGGGGTTGCGACGCTCATCTCGCTCTATTGGCCGAGGGAGCCGGCGTTTGTCCGCAGACAGCCTCCAGGTCATGTGGCCAGCATGACTAAGCCACTTCTGGCGAACCAGAGCAGTGCACGGAAACACCATTTACCTTCCCGCTGGAGCAGTACCTATTTATCTACTTGCACTTTGTGCTTTCGAACTGCTAGGTTGGCAGGAGCTGGGACCAAGCAACAGGAGCTCACCCCGTCGCAGGGATTCGAACCGCTGACCTTCTGATCGGCAAGTCCTAGGCTCTGTGGTTTAACCCACAGCGCCACCTGCGTCCCTGTTTCAGAGCAAAGCTATATCCTTGCCAGCTCCCTGTATGAAAGTCTCCAGGTGTCAGTGGGAACAGAGCTCAGCCCTCTTTCTGATGACTGAAACTAGAAGGGGAATACAGAAGGGGAGAATCGTCCCGGCAGATGGAAGCCCAGTTGAATCCTCACTGCCAAAACAAAGATTAATCTGACAAACACAAAGCAACACGTAGGCTTACAGTATACTAACAATATTTATATAACACTATCGAACTGCTTCTTAATTCACAATCGGAAAACATACAATATGTACATGGAGTCACGAACTAATATGAGTCAAGTAGATATTCTATGAAAAGAAATGATCAGATTAGTATCTGACTGTAGAGAATCACTGAATATTGAGGCTAAACGCCTTCCAAAGTCAATATCCTATACAGAATTTTGCTGAGAGTGAGCTGGAGAGAGATGGTGCTATAAGCACAGCAACACAGAAGAATGATGGCAGGTGCTCCAAACACAGTAACAGCAACGGAAGAGTCCTTTCAGGATAATAGACTGTTTCAATAAATGTTCTTCATCAGCTGGCAATAATATAAAATAAAATCTATTACAATAAAATACAGCGATTGAAATGACATACCTGCATATTCTATAACGGAACAATAACAGATACATTACCAAGTCAAATGTCCACAAAGGTACACCAAAGAACAGTGGATCAGCTGTCACTCAAAAGCGAATTATATTAGGTATTTAAAATTTGTATCCCACTCCTTCTCCCAAAAGGAGCCCAGAAAGGGAAACACACAAACTGCAAAACAATTAAAACAATTCCAATACAGGTGCAGGACTGGGTAACATCTCTGCTTAAAAGGCTTGTTAGAAGTGGAAGGTGCTGAGAAGACATTGGAGATGTTTAACAGGAGGGAATTGCACGTAGGTGCCACACTTGAATATTGCGCAGAATCATAGAGTTGGAGGGCACCTTTCGGCTCATCTTGTCCAACTCCCTACAATACAGGAATATGCAGCGGTCCCTTACAGGGATTGAATCTGTAGCCTTGGCATTATGAGTACCATGCTCTAACCAACTGAGCTGTTGATGAGTGGATCTCCTGATAATATGGTACAGTGGTACCTTGGTTCTCAAACACCTTGGTTCCCAAACACCGAAAACCCAGAAGTAAGTGTTCCTGTTTTCGAAAGCTGAACGTCCGATGTGGCTGTTGGCTATTGTTTCTGGGGCACCTGCAAGAATCAGAAGCTGTGCCTTGGTTTTTGAACATTTTGGAAGTCAAAAGGACTTCCGGAACGGATTAAGTTTGGCGCTTTTGTTTTTGTTTTTGAAACTGGAACCCAATCAGCTACTGATTGATTGGTTGTGTGACTGCGGAAATGGAAATAAGCCTCCCATTCAAACAATGATTATCATCAGTGCAGGTAAGAATTTTTGTTTTATTTTTTAATTGTTATCATCTACGATACTGTCTTATTTATTTTAAAGTACAATACATTGATTTTTGCTTTCATTTTATGGATCAATGGTCTTGTTAGATAGCAGAATTCATGTTAAACTGCTATTTTAGGGCTTGTTTTTAAAAGTCTGGAATGGATTGATCCGTTTTGCATTACTTTCTATGGGAAAGCGCGCCTTGGTTTTGGAACTCTTTGGTTTTGGAACAGACTTCCGGAACGGATTAAATTTGAGAACCGAGGTATCACTGTATCTGCAAGAAGGTCTCACCTGCAGTATACAGTGATCAGCTGGCTACATAAAGGGTAAAAATGATATTTCAAGCTTCCTGATCCCCAGTTATATCACTTTCTTTACACCAAAACCATCACCTTGAACTTAGCCCAAGAGCTAATTAGCAGCCAGTGCAATTGTTTCTGAGGCAGTACGACATAGTGGTGATATCCTGGCCCAGTGAGCAGTTAAGCTGCCACATATTGCAGTAGCTGCAGCTTCTGGGTCAGCCTCAAGGGCAGCCCCACACAGAGCACATTGCAGTCGTCCAGCCTGGAGGCTGCCAGCACATGGAGGACTATTGGTCAGGCCAGGGGTCAGCAAACTTACTGCGCCTCGGGCTGATGTCTCTAGTGCATATTACACAGTGGGCTGGAGGGCAGGGGAGCGCGTGCCCATACGTGTGCGCACACACTATTTCCAGCGCACTTCCGGGTCGGAGGAGCACCGAAAATAGCTTGTGCGCGTGTGCCCGGGCCTCCTCCGACCCGGATGTGCACTGGAAATAACGCATGCGCATGCGCAAATAACGCTTGCACATGAGCACGAGCTATTTCCGGTGCTTCTCTGACCCAGAAGTGGGAAGCCACGCGGCATAGCACCGGTAAGAGCAGGCGGCAGCAGTGGGCGGCGGAGGTCTCCATGGGCCAGATAAAGGAGTCCCTCGGGCCTTATCCAGCCCGCGGACCATAGCTTGGGGACCCCTGGGTCAGGCTATATGGGATGTGCAAAGTCCTATTAAGTGAATGGATCTTCTCTCCTGCTCACCTCCCCTGCTGCTCCCAGTCAAGGCATGAAATTACATTTACAATCTGCATGTGACATTTCTGTATCTTTCAAAGGGGTCGTGGGCGCTTGAGTCTCTGGCCTGCCTATCTGAGCGTGTGCGCAGCCTTGTGTAAAAGATCTGCTTCTAACAGAGTCGCTAAAGTTATCATTTTCCGCACGGATCGCTTTACCAACATGCTAAATGAAGAGAGGAGAATTTATGATTAAGTCTGAAGAGGGCAAAACGTGCATTTGCGAGTGCAATAATGCATGAACATTGCCGGAAACGGCAGGGGCTTGCTAAGTGTCATTTAATTAAGACCAGGACTTTTGCATCACCCATTTGACTGACAAGGATGAAGCTATCATTGTGGGTTTTGATACGCTGAGGTGAGAAGAAACAACTAATAATATAAGAAGAAAGGAGACTACCCAACTTTTGCATAGAAATCTTCGTGTTGTGGACGTCACTGAACAGTTAAAGCACACAATCAAAGCACATGACTCCCCCCAAGAATCCTGGGAGCTGTAGTTTGTTAAGGGTGCTAGGAATTGTAGCTTTGTGAGGGGCAAACTACAGCTCCCAGGATTCTTGGGGGGGGGGAGATATGCACTTTAAATATGTGCAGTGTATGAAGCATTGGGAGATAAAATCCCAGTAGACCAGGGGCATGCATTCTGTGGCCCTCTAAATGTTTTGGAACTATAATTCCCATCGTTAGACAAATTCACGGAGCATAGGCCTTTTGAAGGCTATTACAGGGCTGGAGTTGCTAGGCCTTTGGGCTGATCTAGTTGGGCTCTTATTGTTATGTACTGAAGTTCTCACCCTGGGCCAGCAGGGGGATACTGTAGATAGTTATGCAAATAAGGGCTCGAAAGTGACGTTCAGTGATTGGATAGTTTTAGAAAATTGTTACAGTTACAGGCTGACTGAACCCTTCAGTTCAGTTCTGTTCTGGCCTGTTAATAAACAAGAGCTGTTTGAAGAATCTCTGTGTCATCTGATATGTTCACCCACAACTTAACACTTACGTTGTCAGAAGCAGAACAAGAGATCTGTAAATTAGAATCTACCACAGGCATGCATGAGGAACCTGTGGCCTTCCAGAAGTTTGTAGGACTACAGCTCCCATCATGGGCCGACGCATGGGAGTTAACAGTCCAGCAACACAGGTTCCTTATGCCCGGAGATACTTTTAACCCAAGAACTGAACCTGAACCCTTCCGTCCCCCATCACTGTTCCAACCATCTGCTCCTGGCAGCGTGGCCAGAAAGCAAGGATGATGGGATTTGTAGTCCAGCTACACCTGGAGGGTCTGCATCCCTTCTGCAGGCTGGCCCAGGGGATGACACGAGCCTGCTCCTTCTCAAAAGCAGGGGCGGTGGAACGTTTTCCCAACACAAGACCCACATTTCCTTCTAGGCTCTGGCCTACTTGAACCCAGGCCAAGGCCAAGCCCTAGACTTTAAGAGCTTCTGAGCAGAACCGCAGGCGGACGGGGCTCTTGAGAGAGAATTTCAGGAACTACAGCTTATCTCTGCTGCGGCGCCTGCCATAATTCCCCACTTTGCAGCAATGAGATGTTTACAGAAGCCTTGTTCTCCGCTTCTTGTGCTGGCTGAGACTGATGGGAACTGTAGTCCAAAACATCTGGCGAGAGCCATGCCAGGGAAAGCTGCTCTAGATGAATTTTGATGTTGGCCCAAATAGAGATGCAACACTTCTGGAAATTTTGAAGCCATGGAAAAATATGTCCCGTTCCACCCCACCCCCCCATTCCGCCCTCTGGCTTTCACATCTCTAAGGCCCAAAGAAGAATCCTTCATGTTTTGAGCAGAGACAGCCGGCGGTAAACATAAAACACGAGAAAGCAACATTCCCTCTGAGGCTCCCTTAACCAAGCTTTTATATTTAATAACGACAAGCGAGTGCTATCTCAAGCTGAGAACATACTTTCATTTTCCTGCTTTTCTGTCAGTCAGTATTATTGGCTTATTTGGATACATAGGATGTTGGTTTTTCATCTTAGCTCCGCAGAGCATAATTGGAAACAATGGCTGTGACTCAGCCAGAGTGTCAATAACTCTGTGTACACCAGGAAGTGGTCACTCCTCTTGGGAAAATGGGCAAAAAGGTTTACACAATAAATCAGCCAAGTTAAGGATGACTGTGTCTTAAGTTCATTGCTTTTCACTAGTAATCATAAATTATTTGTAACTCAAGAGCTGAACACATGGTCCAAACATCCTGATTCTATTAATGTTACGATTTCAATTTTCATTTGGAATTTGTGTTAACCCTTATTTGAACCAAGCTGGAATGATAGTATTTCTGATGGTGCTCTGCTGCCTGAGGAGCTTTTTAATCATCACCTAAATGACGTATTTGGGGGGGGGGGCGGGTTGCATTTGCAGTTCGAAAACAAAACCAGATTTTACAAAAACACTTTGAACGCAACCCATCTAGGTATTAGCGGAGTGACTGGGGTAAAGCAGAGGGAGTGCGGGGAGAAAAGAAACTGATAATACTTCCCTGAGGTAAACTGAACAAAAACAGCATATAACACGCGGAGGAATAAACCAAAAGGTTTTTCTTTCTTAGGTCAGGCCTACGCAGGAAGAAAACTAGTTCAGAACCACTCCCCGACCCCAAATCCTCCAGCTGTTAAATCTCAACTGTCTTCCTCACTGACAGCTAATTCCCAACTGACCAGAACTTCATGCCAATAGTCTGCTGTCAGACAGACCAATAGCAGAATTACCCCCAAGTTACAGACAGATGGTCCTTGCTGTTGTACTTCCAACACTAGACCCACCTTGAGCTGCCCATGGGGGAAGGAGGGGTCCCTAATCCGGAATGCGGCAGCTAGACTGGTGACTGGGGGCGGCCGCCGAGACCACATAACACCAGTCTTGAAAGACCTACATTGGCTCCCAGTACGTTTCCGAGCACAATTCAAAGTGTTGGTGTTGACCTTTAAAGCCCTAAACGGCCTCGGCCCAGTATACCTAAAGGAGCGTCTCCACCCCCATCGCTTTGCCCAGACGCTGAGGTCCAACGCCGAGGGCCTTCTGGCTGTTCCCTCATGGCAAGAAGCGAGGTTACAGGGAACTAGGCAGAGGGCCTTCTTGGTAGTGGCACCCACCCTGTGGAACGCCTCCCATCAGATATCAAAGAGATAAACAACTACCTAACAGTTAGAGGACATCTGAAGTTCAGGGAAGTTTTTAATGTGTTTTTAATCTTTGTTGGCAGCCACCCAGAGTGGCTAGGGAAACCCAGCCAGATGGGCAGGGTACAAATAATAAATTACTACCACTACTACTACTACTACTACTACTACTACAACTACAACTAAACACGTCCCTATTTCTACTTCCCAGCAGACCTCAAGTATGCATATGATAATGCCAAATATGTCACGATGAGCGTGGCCCCTGCCATGATTGTGAGGGTCTTCCACACCTCGTGTGTGAAGAAGCTTTTCTGTACTGCACTTAACCCCACATGGATGCATTCAGCAGCTTCCTTGCCTCCAGATCCCTGTGTGCATGGATAACCTGGAAGGGGAGCGTGGCATTGAATATTCTGTGAAGGGCAAAGAGAAGCCTCACTTTCATTGAATTATCTGGCAGCAAAAACATCCTCGCTGAAGGTCAGTGGAAAGCGACAACACCATACCCTCCAACACTTCTCCAAATAAAATAGGGATGTCCTATTCAGTGCTTTTTCCCCCTGGGGGTACGCAAGGGTACACATACCCCTAAACATTTTGTGAATCTAAGTTTGGCCTCATTGAGGGGCAGTATTTCAATATGAGTAGGAAAATGAGAGTACCCGTAAATATTTTTTTTTAGGGGGGGAAGCACTGGTTCTATTTAATAATCATAATAATAATAATACAGTGGTACCTAGGGTTAAGGGACGCGGGTGGCGCTGTGGGTTAAACCACAGAGCCTAGGACTTGTGGATCAGAAGGTCGGTGGTTCAAATCCCCGTGACGGGGTGAGTTCCCGTTGCTCGGTCCCAGCTCCTGCCAACCTAGCCGGCTTAGTCATGCTGGCCACATGACCTGGAAGCTGTACGCCGGCTCCCTCGGCTGGTAAAGCGAGATGAGCGCCGCAATCCTAGAGTCGGCCACGACTGGACCTAATGGTTAGGGGTCCCTTTACCTTTACTTTTTACCTCGGGTTACATACGCTTCAGGTTACATACGCTTCAGGTTACAGACTCTGCTAACCCAGAAATAGTACCTCGAGTTAAGAACTTTGCTTCAGGATGAGAACAGAAATCGTGCAGCAGCGGCAGCAGAAGGCCGCATTAGCTAAAGTGGTGCTTCAGGTTAAGAACAGTTTCAGGTTAAGAGCGGACCTCCGGAATGAATTAAGTATGTAACCAGAAGTACCACTGTAATAATAATACTCCCATCTGATTGGGTTGCCCAGCCACTCTGGGTGGCTTCCAACATATAATGTTTAAAACGTTAAACATTTAAAAACTTCCCTACACAGGGCTGCCTTCAGATGTCTTCTAAAGGTTGTATAGTTACTTATCTCCTTGGCTCAGGGGTCACATAACTCCTTACCCTGCAACATTTCTCTGGTGAAAATCAGGCTGTCCTAAGGAAAATCAGGACATTCTGGGAACAAATCAGAAACCAGGGCTGCTTCTGTAAATCCAGGACTGTCCCTGGAAAATAGGGAGACTTGAAGGGTCTGCTACACTCTCTGTGGGAATCCCACCCACAGGCACAAAGTTGAGTCCGAGGGATGGATCACATTCTTTATAGGGTGTACTAAGAGGCTTTGCTGTCTGAATCTTTTTCAGTGCCTTGGGCAAACAACGGAAAAGTATCGTGACTACTGTCTCCAAGACACTATGTGGTGTGTCCAGGCTCCTATTGCAAAACCTTGGTGCGAGCAGAGAGCAGGCACAGAGCGAGAAGCTCATAATGAAGGCAGGCTGCCTTTTTGTGGTGACTGGAAGAATGCTGATTTCCTTTGGGATTCTAAGCATCGTCTCTGGAATTATCGCCTTCTTCCCTGTTTTTTCCTATAAACCGTGGTTTGCCGGATGGAGCGTTCGCATTGCTTCTCCCATCTGGAGTGGAGCTTTGGTAGGCAGAACTGAATTATATCTAAATTTATATAGCTGTACGACTGGGAAGGGACGCGGGTGATGCTGTGAGTTAAACCACGGAGCCTAGGACTTGCCGATCAGAAGGTCGGCGGTTCAAATCCCCACGACGGGGTGAGCTCCCGTTGCTCAGTCCCTGCTCCTGCCAACCTAGCAGTTCGAAAGCACATCAAAGTGCAAGTAGAAGGTAAACGGCGTTTCCGTGCGCTGCTCTGGTTCGCCAGAAGCGGCTTAGTCATGCTGGCCACATGACCTGGAAGCTGTACGCCAGCTCCCTTGGCCAGTAAAGTGAGATGAGTGCCGCAACCCCAGAGTCGGTCACGACTGGACCTAATGGTCAGGGGTCCCTTTACCTTTACCTGTGACTGGGAAACGATAGTAATGTTGCTGCTGATCTGCTGACATATAATCTGGAACCTTGTAAGGTTCTGGAATTTCAAGAATGGGTGAAAGAAATCCTTGCTAAATGTAATCTACATGGCTAGTAGCCATTGATAGGCCCCTATCACAAGATGAGGCACATACACACAATTTGAATGGCTATGTCCATGAACCTTGGGGGGGCTGGCCCCCTCAAATATTTTATTGGGGGCGAAGGGAGCTCGGTCCCCCATGAGTTGGCTCCTATGTGAGAGAGGGTGAATGCACATACAGACACCTCCCCTGAATTTTCCATATCGATTTGAAATATCCCACCCAATCGCCAGCTTCTGGTCTAGACTTCTATGTTACACTGCTAAGAGCTTTGACGCAATGTTGGATCCCTCCTCTCCCTTTGTGTTTAGAGATGAAAACAAAATGTTAGGGCTGGCTCGAGGGGAGAAAAAGCAACAACATTATCTGTAAACAAGTGCAGTTTTGCGAAGTTTGGGAGAGGAAACAAGATCGCTGGGCAACACATTTGCAGCAAAGTTGAAATTGATCATCTAATAGCTGAAACTCCCCGGCTGGAGTTGGCCTAGTTCTGAGGATGAACTAATCCCTCCTGGCTTTCTTTCTCTCTGTTCCCTCCACCACATGTGTAAATTGAGGGAGTCTCGCTTGGAAAAGCAGATGGGAAAAGAGGTTTGGCCACTCTTGCCTCCTACATTGGCTCGTCCCAGTGTTCTTACGTTGCTGTGTTATTTGTTCTGGCTAAAACCCCTCTTGGACCCTGTGCAACCTTTCTTCCTCTCTTTCTGCCTGATGAATTTTGCCAACCTTTCCCGTGACTCCAGATTAGCCTTCCCCAACCTGGTGCCCTCCAGATGTTTTGGTCTACAGCATCCATCAGCCCCAGCCAGCACAGTTTCTCCAGATGTTTCTGCTTTCGTTCCTGGGAACTCTCTACAGTAGTACATGGTGCCAAGACCTCAATTTCAGGCTCCTTTTGCCTAAGAACTCTGTTCAAACTTCTGTTCTCAGAGGGTAGGGCTGGGGAAGTTGTGCTCCACCCTGGGTGTTATGGAGTTCCACAGGGGTCTGCATTGCCCTTACATACTTTATTTATTAAATTTATATCCTGCCCTTCATCCCAAGAGAGTTCAGGGGGAGAGGGCAAGCAACAAGCAATACTACAGTAAAATTGTTTTTAAAGCATATTTAATACGATTCCACTGCAGATGCAGTGGAAAAGGCTTCTTGAAAGAGGAAACTGTTTGAAACTGTTGGGGAATTTCATCCAAAGGCTTGGGCTGCAGCAGCGGGGGGAAGACTCAGTCAATTTTCGTTCTTTCGGTTTCTCATTTTTCCAGTCTTAAACTCTGTTCTCTGCATTTCTGCAGCAATTCGTGGTTTGTTTGCTTTACGAAAAAATGCTCGCAAAGATTCTTCAACCATTTTGGTGCAAATTTCTCTTCCTAAACATATTTTTGTACACAATTTAAGCAAACATAAGTATTTTTGCAAGCTATTTCTCCTAAAGTAATGCATTTTTCATATGCTGTTTCCACTAGCATGTTCACTTTAAATATATATATATATATATATATATATCTATATCTATATATATATATATATATATATATATATATATATAGATCTTCTGTCATACAATTCAAGAGAGAAAGAGAAATAATCCATAACAGAAAAGAAACATTAAATCACTATACAATATCCCGAAAGAAAAAACCATAAACAAAATAAAACAAACTCACCACCCTGTTTAGCTTCCCTCCACCGCTACTGGGCTTCTCTAGAACCAATTTTACCTTTATCATTGCATTCTGATTGTTTTTATTCTCTCTATATACCTATACCAGTATATCTCTTTGATAGATTATTGTTTTGATGCATTTACATTCTTAGTCCAAGCATATGAGCATGTCTTTTTTAGAGCAGTATTTTGTCATATAGTCATCAAAGCACTGCCATTCATTTTTCAGTTTTTGATTTGACTCCTGTCGTATAGATGCTGTTAATTTAGCCAATTTTAAATATTCATTTAATTTGAGAAGCCATTCCTCCTTGGTAGGTAGTTCTTTAGCTTTCCATTTAGATGCTATTACTATCCTAGCTGTGGTGGTCGCATATAAGAAAATTCTTTTTTTCGATTTTGGTATTTCTTTTCCTAATAGGCCCAGTAAGTAAGCCTCTGGTTTTCTCGTTAATGGGATTTTAAGCATTTTTTTCAACTCGTCATGTATTTCTCCCCAAGCATGTTCACTTTCTATGCACATTGTCCACTAATATATGCATTTTTATAAACATTATTTGGCTGGAGAGCTCCATCACAAAATCTGGGAATGCAAGAAACTTTTGCCCAACATGGGGCTCAAACCCACAACCTTGAGATGAAGAGCCTAATGCTTTGCCAACTGAGCTATCCTCTATGCCAGCTTTTTATGCATAGGATTACTCCCTTAAACAGGATCTATCTGTCCTATAGTAGTAACCTAAAGAAGGGCTTTCTTAAAAATAGAATTTGCCATCGGCTTCTGGCTTTGCATGCTTCACATAGTGGGTTTGTTTCCTTGCATTGCGATTTCTTTCTTCTAAAGGAGTCTGTTTTGCAAAGTCCTTTGGAGAGAACAAAGGCCTATTAAACATTACTAACTTTATTATGTGTAACCATATGTTTCCCCCTCTGTCTACAGGCTGTTATTGCAGGTGTACTTCTTGCTGTGGCTGAAAAACAATGGACCCAGAGATACCTGGTAAATTTATGTGGTTATTCTATACAGTGCCACATTCTAGGCAGAAGGCAGGCAGAGTTAATCCAGGCATAGGCTCTCAAGAGGAAGAAAAGGCACACAGCTGTAGCCTTAAGCTACAGATCAGATAAAGAATACAAGGTTTAAAGCAGGCACACTTTAAAACATTCTACCAGATTTACAAGACTGAGCAGGATCCAGAGATATTTCCTGACTTGAAAGAAGGGAATGTTGTTAGAATCAATAAAATCCATCAAACTAGTGGAACCTTCTTCTTCTTTTTAATTATTTTTCAGTTTCCTTGATATATGGAAAGTGCATAAATAATAACCCCATCTCGCAAAATGATCCTTATGGGATTTTTGCAGGTTTGGGTACATCTCTTTTTCTGCCATAACAAAAGGTGGTGGCTGTTTTGAAGAAAGAGATTATACTTTAGCTCCATAAACACTGCAAATGTTGTTGGGGATTTTTTGCACTGCTACCCTCCCCTGCCATTTATTGTTAATGTTTATTGATTGGATTTAATTAGTATTGCTGTCACAGAGGCTTTTTAGTATCCTTTTTTTCTTTAATAAGCTGCCTTCAGGAAGCAGACTGGGGCGGCCTTCCTCTGAGACTCTGGTTAAGTTAGAGGAGTCAATACAGAAGGCTGTGTACGCACCACAACTTTCAAAGCGCATACCAAGCACATTTTCCTTCTTCAAAGAATTCTAGGCACTAGAGTTTACTAAGGATTTCTGGGAATTGTGAGGGGGTAAACCGCAGTACCCGGAATTCTTTGAGGGCGGCATTGTGATTCAAACGTGCTTTAAAACTATAGTCTGGACACAGTCTAAGAGAGATGGGTTGCTTAACTGAGCATTATATTGTTCTAGGATCGCAGTAAAATTGCTGTGAAGGAGTCCGGGTTTGTAGGGGGGGGGAGGTTAGGGCAGATTCACACCATTCCTCTAAAGCATGGGTAGGCAAACTGTTAAGTTGTGGGTGAACATATCAGACGAAACAGCAATTCTTCAAACAGCTCTTGTTTATTCACAGGCCAGAACAGAACTGAACTGAAGGGTTCAGCCAGCCTGCTTATATAGAGCTCCACTAGAACGCAACAGTAACCATTTTCTGTAACTATCCAATCACTGAACGTCACTTTTGATCCCTTATTTGCATATGCAGACCTGAGTGAAAACTATCTACAGTATCCCCCTGCTGGCCCAGGGTGAGAACTTCAGTACATAACACAAACCAAGGAGGCTGGATCCGGCCCAATAGCCTTGTAAATCCGGTCTGTGGACGGTCTGGGAATCAGCGTGTTTTTACATGAGTAGAATGTGTCCTTTTATTTAAAATGCATCTCTGATTTATTTGTGGGGCATAGGAATTTGTTCATATTCCCCCCAAAAGAGATAGTCCAGCCCCCCACAAGGTCTGAGGGACAGTGGACCGGTCCCCTGCTGAAAAAGTTTGCTGACCCCTGCTCTAAAGCACCTAATATATCTCTGCCATTAGCCAGATAAGACAAGATGCTTCTCTTTCCATTCCAGTGGGAAGCCGCTTTCACCTTTAGCATCTTGAACATCATCAGCTCTCCGGTTCAAGGTGCCATCGCCCTTGCATCCCTCCTTCATGGACCTTATTGCTACTACTCTTTCGCCGGAGTTTCGGGTATGAACTACCTCGGTTATGCAGTCCTTTTGCCCTTTCCTTATGGCAAGTTTGCTTCCGTGTGCAAGGACCCCGCAGGCTACGAGTGGTACCACCTGGCGCTGCAGATACTAGACATTTGCTCCAGTCTTGCCATGCTCTCTGCATCCTTGGCCATTGTGATCAAACTCACAGCAAGACTGCTCCAGTTTGGACACTTAAATGTGAGTATTACTCAGTGGCAGGGAAGTAATGATTAAGAGCAGCATATAAGTATTCTTATTTGTCTGTTTCGTTTATTCCATTTAATGCCCATCTTTTATTTCATTGCATTGCACTGCACAATTCAAAGTGTTGGTGTTGACCTTTAAAGCCCTAAACGGCCTCAGCCCAGTATACCTGAAGGAGCGTCTCCACCCCAATCGTTCTTCGCAGACATTGAGGTCCAGTGCCGAGGGCCTTCTGGTGGTTCCATCACTGCAAGAAGTGAGGTTACAGGGAACCAGGCAGAGGGCCTTCTTGGTAGTGGCACCCGCCTTGTGGAAGGCCCTCCCATCAGATGTCAAGGAAATACAGTGGTGCCTCGCAAGACGAAATTAATCCGTTCCGCGAGTCTCTTCGTCTTGCGGTTTTTTCGTCTTGCGAAGCACGGCTATTAGCGGCTTAGCGGCTATTAGCGGCTTAGCGGCTATTAACGACTTAGCGGCTTAGCGGCTACTAACGGCTTAGCGGCTTTAAGAAAAAGGAAACAAACTCGCAAGAACTCGCAAGATGTTTCGTCTTGCGAAGCAAGCCCATAGGGAAATTCGTCTTGCGGAATGACTCAAAAAACGGAAAACTCTTTCGTCTAGCGAGTTTTTCGTCTTGCGAGGCATTCGTCTTGCGGGGCACCACTGTAAACAACCACCTGACTTTTAGAAGACACCTGAAGGCAGCCCTGTTCAGGGAAGGTTTTAATGTGTGACATTTTAATGTATTTTTAATCTTTGTTGGAAGCCACCCAGAGTGGCTGGGGAAACCCAGTCAGTTGGATGGGGTACAAATAATAAACTACTATTACTATTACTGCATTGCATTTATATCCCAATGAAGGCAGCCCTGTTTAGGGAAGCTTTTAATGTTTGACGCACTATTGTATTTTAATATTTTGTTGTAAGCCGCCCAGAGTGGCTGGGGAAACCCAGCCAGATGGGCGGGGTATAAATAATAATAATAATAATAATAATAATAATAATAATTATTTCTTTATGGAGCTTTTGGTTTCCCCCTTTCCACACAACAACCCTGTGAGGTAGGCTAGGCTGAGAAGCAGTGATTGGCCCAAGGTCACCCAGTAATCTTCATGGTGGAGCAAGGATTTGAACCCTGGCCTCCAAGGAGCTCAAGGTGGCAGGCCCCTTCTTTGTTTTCTCCTCACAACAACCGTGCCAAGTAGGTTTAGGCTGAGAGACTGTGACAGGCCCAATGTCAAGCAGTGGTCAGTCAGGTTCTGGCCCAACACACTAACCACTACACTACACTGGAAGTTGTTTTCTTTGGATTTTATCCTGGTCTTTGGGCCTGCAAAAAATTGTGACCCATCATACCAGGACTGCCCACTAACAGTGTATCATCTCCATAGGGAGAAGTCAACAAGCAAAGACAACTGGGCTGAACTGCCATGACACGTGGGTTTCAGGCCGCGTTTATACTCTGGTGGACATAAGGGGCTGCCAGCATTAGAAGCAGTAAGGCATCATTCTTGGTGTTTGCTGTCTTGTGTGGCGATTTCTCTCCTACGGGGTTGGACTATCCCCTGAAAGCTAAAGGATTCCTAGGCTTCAAATTTACATTGCCGACCCAAGCTTCCTATTGGTTCCCACTGACCTGGAAGGACTATAAACAGGACATGAAATACAGAGTTGGAAGGGACCACGAGGATCATTCTAGTCCAAACCTCTGCAATGCAGAATTTTTTTCACCCAATGTGGGGCTCAAACCTACAACTTTGAGATGAAAAGTCTCATGCTTGACAGTGGATCTCAAGTTGTGAAGGGCTGATCTAATGTTACCGGAACTGAATCGTCTTTGGTTGGCTGTTAGTATGCAAACGCCTTAACAGCTTGGGACCAGTTTGCACATAATTATTGTTCCACAGTTGTACGAAATAAATATTTTAGCAGCAGCTACACTGTGGAACTCCCTGCCCTTTGATACCAGGCCGGTGCCTTTGCTGTTCTCTTTCCAGTACTTGCTTAGAAACTTTTTTGTTTAGGCAAGCTGATCTAATTATGTAGAAGTTACATGGGTTTCAGTCTGTTTTTAGTTCATTGCTGATTTTAACTGGGGTTTTTTAATATTTGAAAATACCAGTTTTTAACGGTCTTCCGTTGATAATTTTAACAGTGTGGGTTTTTTTGGGGGGTTGTAAACTGCTTCAATGTTTTATTACAATCAAGTGGTGTATAATTTTTGTTTAAAAAATAAAATAGAAATAAACATGGGGTCCGGTGTGCTGAGACTACTTCTGCTAAAATGTGCCTCTGTTTAACTGTATCTTTTGTGTGTGTGATGATGAACGGCTTTTGGCAAATTAATCTGACTAACTGACAGACCCCCTCTGCTGCCAGATCCTCAAGATTGTGCTCTTGGATGTCCTTATTAAATAGGAAAACAGAGCAAAACACTATTGCTTCCATTTATCTGGGGCATGTGGAGGAAGAAAAGCTTGACGAGGACACTTTTGAGTTAAAGAGATGGGCGTTTGGAAGCGAGGACGGGAAATATGCAGTGCAGAAAAGCAGGCAGCTGTTTATATCTCCCAGGGGCCTTATTTATATTGTTCCTAAATTTTCTGTCCTCTCCGGTCTCATCAGAGGACCTCAGCTGACACTTTGCCATTGCCAGGGTCACTGGTTTCTCCTCTGGTCCCCCTTTTCCTGCTCCCTGCTCCAGCTGCAGGATTAACCCTCTGCCTCTCCCGTTGCCGGCCATGCAATGTGAACCCCTGCGGCCGCTGCTCCTGCCCTTGAAGCCAAGCGCTGGGCTTAAGTGCCTTGAAAGGCAGGATACTCCATCTCTCACATGACTGAGCATCTGATTGCCAAACAGCCTGTGACGAGATGAGGCGCTCAGGAGCTCGAGAACTTAACTGCAGCAGATGGTCTGCACTGCGGCTCCTATCTGCCCTGTCAGCTGGTTGGGGGCTGATCTGGATCCGGACGGTGCCGGGTTCACTAGAGGGGGTGTGATGCTGCTGAAAGAGTGAGCTGCTGTTTCTTACTGGAAGGGAGATGAGGAAGTGAGGCGAGGCGGTGCAAATGCATCAGTGCAGCCAATCCAACTGCTGCTTAGCTGGAGGGAGAGGGGTGTTTGCACCACCCCTCTCCCTCCAGCTAAGCAGCAGCAATGCATCTGCTGGGCAGCTAGCACAGCAACTGCTGCACAACCTCTGGGAATTGCTTGGGGCTATGTATCCCAGCATCCTCCGCAGAAAAATTACAATATTAACTTCCATTGCTGCAGTGTGGGGAGGTCTCTTCCAGATGTTAATTGCTTCATTTTGGAAGCAGGGGTGCTGGGGGATGTCGTCCCAGCCCCTTCCCCATGTGGAAACAGAAACTTGAAGTGTCCGTCACAGCCTTTCTGCTGTTGCAATCCCATACCCTAAATATCCCTATTTATATCTGAGGAATGTTGGAGGGTACTCTAGTCTCGACCTGCCAGCCTTGAGATCTTCCTGGGCACACCCCATCTCCTGAACTGCATCTCAGGAGACCTGTTCATCCCACCCCTAAGTGCAAGCTGCCATGGTCAGTGTCTTATGGATGAGCCAGGATCAGATCTCTTTCTGCTGTTGGGTGCAACAAGGGTTAAAGCAGCCGCATTTCACCACCCAGCCTGTGTAGCGAATGCCACTGAATTGAGTTAACGCACATGGCAACTCGACACCAAGATGCCAGGGCAAAGGTCAACACTGGGCTCTCTGGAGCATGTTAGTGACCTGGCGCTGTCTCGGCTTGCAGGGGGAAATCAACACAGTAATGAAGGTTTTGCACTCCACTTGACCTCTTGCTGAAGCCCTTGCTCAAGCTGTCTAGAGTGATGGACTCAAAAATCTGAGTGCATCTGCTCCACCTTTTCCAGCTCAGGGTGCAAGATGAGTTGCTCCAAAACCCATCTTTATGCTCCAGAGGGTCAACAATGTGCTTGCATTGTGGTGGCTCAGGCAAGAGAGAAAACGGAGCCATTTACGATAGATTTAATAATATATTAGCGAAGAAGCGAGACACTTTCACGGGGCCTTGCGATGTGCCCTGCTTATGAGTGTTTGAAGGCTAATCTACATGATAGGCATTTTGCTACAGCTCGACATGTGCATGCTTTGGGGGTTTTTAGTCAATAAAAAAGATTGAGGGGGCCCAAGCAGTCTCGGCCCCCTGGAGCTGGCACCTGGGACATGGACCCATTGTTTGCCATCACCAGTTCTCAGGCTCCTGTTGCTTCCTACCTCCCTTCTCAGTTGGCCAGTGATCTTACCCTCCAACGTTTCTCCGATGAAAATAGGGGCATCCAGTGCTATTTTTCTAGAAAAAGAGGCGGCAGAACTCACCATGAACACCTCCCTTGTTCTCTTCAAATGGCAATGGTGCCCACCAGAGAGGTGCTGTAACGGAGTTCCAGCTAAAATAAAGCCTTGGAGATGTCCTATTCCATACCCTCCAACATTTCTCCAATTAAAATAGGGGTGTGCTAAGGAAAATCAGGACATTCCGGGATCAGATCAGATTCTATGACCTACACCTGTGTGTTCTTGTTCCTCTGAGTTTTTAAAGGTCAGATTTTCAGGAAAAAAGGAAGCTGGGGAGAGGGCAAAATGAGAAGGGAATGTTTTGTTTACAGTGCCATGCATATGCACCGGAATAGCCTCCTCACTGATCTATGATTGCCAGAGTTCCCTGGCAAGAAAGGGGTCGGTTGTTAAATCACCCTGTACACCCTCTGAGAGGGATATGGGTCTCATAAACAGTCTCAGTACCTGTAAATAGGTGAGTTCCTCTGCCTTGATCTTATTCTGTTTCCCATCACCCACTCCATGAGGGTTGGCGAACCTCCTGCACCTGATTTCATGCCGCTCTTGGCCTAATTTCATGCAAATGGGGAAAGTCCAGGTGGGAGAAAAAGACGACAAGAGTGGGAAAATTCTGCAACAAGCCAATACAGAGGGAGCAATGAGAAGATGTGGGAAAGCTCTCTGAAAGCGATCAATTCACACTTCTGGTGAGGAGTGGAAAATGTAGTTGGGGTGGAAAGCTGAAATGGATGGAGTGATGGGAAATTATCAGATCAGACCTGTGGCAAAAGTGATCTGTCTCCAGATAGTCTGGTGCGGGGAGGGGGGAGAGTGAAGGAGTGGTGAAGGAGTGGTGCTCCCCCATACCTCGGGTTACATACACTTCAGATTACATACGCTTCAGGTTACACACTCCGCTAACCCAGAAATAGTGCTTCAGGTTAAGAACTTTGCTTCAGGATAAGAACAGAAATCGGGCTCCGGCAGCGCGGCGGCAGCAGGAGGCCCCATTAGCTAAAGTGGTGATTCAGGTTAAGAACAATTTCAGGTTAAGAACGGACCTCCGGAACGAATTAAGTACGTTACTCGAGGTGCCACTGTATTTGGTTCTGCTCCTCACACACAGAGAGAGATTACCCTTGAGCAGAAAACAGGTTTCTTATACTCTGTGCTTTCATCCAAGGATGAAAATTGTCATCATACTAATATGCATATGTGAAATTACTTTAAAAGACAGACTTGATTATCTCTGAGGGAGTCCAGCACGCCCAATGGCTGCAGCGTCTTGCAAATTAATCTGCACAGAGGTGGGGGGGGGGATGACTGCACAACAAACTCGTAAATCCCTCACCAATTCGAGGTTCCCTTGGAAGGTGCTCTCAGCTTCCACACAAGGCAAGAGACGCGTCAGAATGCGTTGTAAAATGTACCTGCTCTACCCAAGGGTCGCTTTCGAAAAACCAAAATAACAATAGGCCAACAGCATGCAGATGACACTGACCCCAAAAAATGTGTCTGTGAAAAGCAGCGAGTGAACTTTTACGGCCGTGTGCGTATACACCCTTAGAAACAGGGTGAGGTGCAGCTGGTGTGTGTACCTTTCAAAAGCAGGCTGTTCCCCCTTCTTCTTTTTCACCTGTCAACCACATGCTGCAAGTACAGTTTAATCTAAATATATGGCTCTGACCTTTTCAAGATCACAAGCTGTTGCTGCGCAAAGATCAAAGCTTCTGGAGTTTTGAAGTGGCGGGGCGTCTCGTTTCTATTGTTTGTCCAAGCTAACGCACCTCTGTTGTGCACGCCGAGACAGTTCACACACCTATGGCAGCCCCCTAGGTGAGCATCCCACCCTCTGGGGATGCATGCGTGCGTCTTTTGTGTGTGGTGTGTGTGTGTGTTGCATGGTTGCTGCTGAGCAGCTCTTACATCAGGCATGTCTAAAGTCTGCCCAGGGGGCCTAATCCGGCCCTCCGGTCAGTTTAATCTGGCCCCTGTGACATTATATGTCCGGGGTAAAATCCTAAAAAAAGCTCAACTACTTCGGTCGGCCCTCACACATGTTCACTTTGACAAATCTGGCCCTCTCTGAAAACAGTTTGGGCACCCCTGTCTTACATGGTCTGGGTATTCTCCAAACATTTACGTTTGTGAGCTGCCAAAATTGTGCAACCGTCATAATACTTCATAATAATTCAATAATTCAATATGTCATAATAATTCAAGAGGGTCAAAGATAGAATGGGAATAAGGTGTGGTGAGGGTGGTTTAGTTGCAACTGGGGTTGTTATGCCTTTAACTCCAGCAATCAATAAAGAAAAGTTAAACAGTTTAACAACGTATTTCCTTTCAGTGATTGTACTGAGCAGGATTCAAGGGTTTGCCCTGAGAGGCATCTTATCGATATTTAAAATAAGTTATTTTTCTTAATAAGCAGCTAAAGGCAACAGGCATGGTGCTTTCCCAGTTTACCCTCACAACACCCCTGTGAGGTAGACTAGGCTGAGAGTGTGCGACTGGCCCAAGGTCACCCAGCAAACGTCATGTGTGAAGGGACAGCTCCTGATCCTAAGGGGAAAGTGGTTTTTTCTATAAGCGTTTGCACTTCACTCCTATTCCTTTGCCACATATATTGGTTTGACAGAATCATGACCCGTGTTTGTTTGTTTTTAGAAAGGATTCAGCAGCATTTGCACCAGCAAATAATGGATTTTAGGTAAGGGCTTTGAAGATAATGAGAAAAGTATCCACATGAGGACAATGTGAGGCTACCTCTTTATCCCTACCAACAAATGTTTGCTGTCCGGGCGATAAAGCCCACCTGAGCCTTCTGTAAATGTATGTCCCTGCTCCATTTAAATTCCATTTGCTTCTTCAGTGACGTCTCGGAGCACAACAACTGATCCCCCCCCCTCGATTATTTTACTACCTAAAA